TAGTTAAAGTAAACCGTGCATCAAAATATACTCCCAAATCCTTCATAATATTGACTGATTACAAATCGACTCCGTATAATTATAATTAAAAATAATTTGGTAAACTTTTTTTGTGAACCTACTTATTTTACAATTAGCTATATTTAAAGTAAATCTATTTATTTCGCACCATTGACCTAAAATATTAAGGACATTTTGGAGTCTTCCTCATTATTTACCCGGGAGAATATCTTAAGGTCATCAGCATATAAAAGCCTCATACAATTTAATTTTGAAGGTCAATTATTTATAAAAATCAGAAACAGCAATGATCCTAAGTTAAAACCCTGCAGAACTCCTGAGGTAGAAATAAATTGATGAAATTGTTGTATGAGAAAAAATTATTTTCTCTCTATCAATTCAAACAATTCTACAAAAAATCGTCTAAACCAGAGTGTTTAAGTTTTTGTAGCAAAATGTGGTTTTTAATTTTATCAAAAGCTTTTTGGTAGTCAGTATAAATAACGTCAAGCTGAGAACCTTGATCTAATGTTTTACAGGCATATTGAGTAAATGAGGCCAAATTAGTTACTGTGGACTTTTTTTCAATAAACCCATGTTGACACGGAAATGATAATTTTTTTAGTTGGCCATACAGCTTGGAATATATAATCATTTCAAATAAACTGCTCACCACTCAATGTGTCGCGACCAAAAATTTCGTCCTTTTTCAAAACGACATAACTTTTTTGTTTCTTAAACGATTTTATTTTGGTTTGTGATGTCTGCTAGCCCCATTCTCTGGCAATTTATGCTATAGATATGAAGCTCACGGTTCTTCAAGTAAATTTACTACAGGGTGATATGTAAAACTGTGAAAAATTTCAATAACTTCATCCAAGCCCCGTTTGTAAAATAAATATTTTTTTCTCGTTTTTACTTTGAAATAATAAAGTATTATGCCTTACCTTGAAACGTTTTTAAAATTTTTCGAATTGGTATCTTAGCAACAAAAATATGATTTTTTTTTCAATGGAGTACATTTGATGCTTTTTTGTAGGCAATACACTCAGCCTTTTTAAGAACAAAAATATAAGATGGTGAAAGATTGTTCCTTGAATAATTATGAACAAGCGACAAGCAACAAACTTCCATTAATTTCAGAGGAACCTAAGCAAAGACCACTTTTTCAAAATGACATTTTGGTAAAAATTTTCGAAAACTAAACCTGAACCGATATTTACGTTCGTAACATGTTTTCTTCATAATTTTGACCTGATTGTGATTCACCTTGTTTTTAAGTTTTTTAAATCTGCATTCATTTTATCTAAATGTATTAATTTCAAGTATACACTCTTAAAAAAGTCAGCAAAACCATCAACTATATAATTAGGGTTTGAAAATCCTTTTTATTAAAGCTTCTTGAAATGTAAAAAAATCCTTTTTTCGAGCTTACATATGACCAAAATGATTTTGGTTCATTTTTTAAGTTTATTTAGAAATTATTTATATATTTTATCTAATCCCCCATTCATAAGCTTTGACTTTGTGGCGTTTTAATCACTGGCTGAAGTTAGCAACAGTGGCTTTTGGGCATTTTAGTCACGTGCTGAAGTTGGCTTTATTATAAATTTAGAAAAAGTGAGGTTAAATCCGTTGACAGTTGACAGATTTCAAATGTTTAACAAATAAAATTGACTTTAAATTATGTTTTGTTTTCGTCGTAGATAAAGTAAACCATACAACACGTTTTATAATCTTCTCTAGACACTCGTTTTTATTAAAAACTCGCTCGCAAGCTTCGCTCGTGCCCAATAAAACTCGTAACTAAAATGTCATTTATTAAACTTGATACATAATATACTATTTTATACAAGATTGCAATTTGTTTTTTTACTAGTGTTTTTATTTAAATCAATATATACGCCATCTAAACGTTTAATTTTTTTAGAGTTTTGATCTTTATTTCTAATATTATTAATTATTTCACTATTAAACCAGGAAGGGGAGTACGTTAAATAGATTTAACACTCTTACTGGGTCCACACGTATCTAACCAATCATAAATAAACTTATAAAACTAATTACACATTTTATTTACATCGTTAATTTGCGATAAAAACGACCAATCTGCATCTAATATCATTTTATACAATAATGGATAATTCGCCTTTCTAAAATTATAAGTTTTGCTCTCTAAATTAACATTGAGACCACATTTACCGCCCCAAGAAAGATCGGTCAAATACTTGCCAAACGCAAAACCAGGGGTTTACGAAATTCCTTGTAAGAATTGTGACGGAAGCTACGTGGGACAGATCAATAGACGTATCAACGTTCGACGCGAAGAACATCATAACGCAGTCTTAAAACAAAAAAAAAACATCTTCCTTAGCTAAACACGTCCGAAAAACTTCCCATGAAATTGACTTTGAAAAAACAAGGATCTTGGCTAGCATCGAACACCGGACCAAACGAACCAAGCCATTGAAATAGAAAAACGTCCAAGAAACCTCAACACAAGAGACGATACACAGAGACTAGCAACTGTATGGAAACCAGCTCTTACAACCACCAAAACGCCACGCAGATTAACGAGATCAATGGAGCCGAACATAACACAGGTTCAATCGCAGTCACGGTTAATGACGCGGAAAGCTAAGAGGGTATATAAACAACGATCAGCGGCAACGGAGCTCACTCCACGTCTAACTCGCAGCAGAGCAGCAAGAGCAGCCCAGCAGATAAGACCTGAAGATGGTACATGAGATTGTACCGAAACGTCGTCAGACATACGGTTCTTTTAATATATATTATACGTATATATTAGGGTGATTTATTTCCGCATGTTGAGCTCTTAATATCAATTTTAAGTACTTACTATTTAAATTTAAAGTTTTACAGTTTAAAATGAATGTAAAGATTTTTTTTTTCAAATTTTTAATGCTTACCCACCTTTGACAATATTGCAAATCGGTTTGATGGACCTTGTGGGGAATTGCACGCTCTTCAATATTGATTTTGAGTTTGCATTGGTTCACCAGTAGGAGTCGTCCAAGGACAGTTTAAAAAAAATAGTTTTTTTATTTATTCTAGCAAATCGCCAAAAGTAGGGAGAAAAAAGGGCTGACTCATAAAAAAAAGTTTTCCAACCAATATTTAATGAATTTACAGCCATTTTTATAACTGAAAACATAAGAAATTGATAAATACCAATCCATAATGTTATTTAGATTGATTTTTTATATTTATTATCATTATATTTCCCTACACTAAGAACTTTTTTAAAATTATTATGATTTCTCACTCATAATGAATATGAAAACAACAAAATTTTAATCAAAATATACAGAAGGTTACGTTATTAAAAAAATTAAATAATCTTCATTTATATATTTTTTGCTATATGACAGAAATGTTAAAAAATTGCAAAATCCACGTTACAATTTTATTCTATTTGTTTTTTTATGAATTAATGTGTTGTTTTCATATTCATTATGAGTAAGAAATCATAATAATTTTAAAAAAGTTCTTAGTGTAGGGAAATATAATAATAATAAATAGAAAAAATCAATCTAAATAACATTATGAGTTGGTAATTATCAATTTCTTACGTTTTCAGTTATAAAAATGGCTGTAAATTCATTAAATATTGGTTGGATAACTTTTTTTTATGAGTCAGCCCTTTTTTCTCCCTACTTTTGGCGGTTTGTTTGAAAAAATTTAAAAAAAAACGAAATTTTTCAAAAACTGTACTTTGACGACTCCTACCGATGAACCAATGCGAGTTGCACAAAAAAACTTCAACTTCAACAATTGCTTATTGCACTACGGGTATTTGACCATAAGCGGTGTGGAATTAATATCATTTTTACACTGCTATTTCAAAAACTAAGTAAGCCAGAACCTAATTTGGTTTACCATTGGAAAGAGCGGAAAATTGTAGTGGGAAAACAAATAAAATGTTACTTTAGAACTACAGTTTGGCTCTGATGTTATAATATGAAAAATATTATGTATAATAATTTTCATATTATACCACTCATAAATCAATATAGAAATGCTGTATATTAATACTAGTTCAAAATTTTTTATAAACCTCAATACAAAAATAAAGCTAAAATGTCATTATTTTAGTTAAAAAAAAGTAATATTATACTAAAAAATTCAATAAAAATTAACGTTACGTTGATAGGTGGTAGAAACTGTGAGATCCTTTTGAATAATTTTGTAGCTAAAAAGTAGAAGTTCTTTATAAAATTCAATTCATCTCTCTTCTTTTCTCAAACTTAAACGGCTTTCTACTTTAAAATCAATTACATGTTTATTGAATTTGTTTTGTGTGGAAACGCCAGGGCATATCCGAAATATATTCCGAGTTAAAGTGAGCTTTTACAAATATTGAAAGCTAGTTTATTTAAAATGTGTTTTTCCATTATCAACAAATATCTTGAATTTTAATACTCCTATCTGTTTCTGACTTTATTAAAGAAATTAATATCATTCGGCGTAATTCTATCCATTTGGAAATATTCTATAAAAGGATTCATTAAAAATCAGATATGGGCAAAACGCTAGAGGAAAATTTAAACCATATTTTCTTTTATATGAAATGAAACTCAACAAACATAAAATAATAAGCACGAGAAAAACAACCAACAATTTTATGCGTAATGTTTTAAATATTTGTTTTTAGTTGGACAACTGTATTTTATTAAACAATTAATAATTCACTTTAACTGTATACTAGGGTGTCCCTTATATGGGTGAAACATTTTTTTTCAGGTATTGAAATGCATACCTCTTAATTCTTTTTAAACTACCTTGACTTACTCAAATACAAAATGTTATCTTCCAATGTCAACGTTAACCCGTGCCGACAGAGCCGTGAAGATTTTAAAAATCGCTGTCTTTAACGGTTATCATTGTGTAGCTAAATTAAATGAAATGTTTGAAATGTATAAAAATAAAATTAAAAGAGAAAGTTAGAAAATAGGTTTTATTTATTAATTAAAAGAACATCACAAATCAGCAAGGATATTTTCTTTTAAGGGTCTCTTTTTTACAGTCTGGATACAGATTTCTATGCTCTTGTACACAGCGCAGCAAAATTGTTTTTGTTCTTCTTTTGCAGTAATTAAACCATAAAAATCTTCCATAAGTTTTACAGCTCTTTCAGCTATATCATTCAAGGCCCTTAAAGAAAGAAGCCTTCTTTTGCCTGCAAATAGGCAACATCTTCTTCCCATGTAGAAACGGGTTTCTTTAAGAAGTTTTTATCAATGTTTAAACGAGAAAATAAATGTGTGCTCTTGACAGACACAAAATCATTTAATGATTTTCCTACAACAATAGTCAAGATATTATTATTAATATTATTATCAGTTTATCCAGAAGGGTATAAGAGATAAAACTATGTATTTCACTTACCATACAAATAATCAGACATATCTTCTTTCGATGGAATGTATCTCTTCACAGAATCTTACAAACTCTCTTTTTGTAAGTTCGCTACAATATTTGCCTTGGTTTGTTCATCTACTTCATCCTTAAAGAGTGATAAAACAGTAATTTCTTCTGACAAGTACCAAAGATGTTTACTAAACTTGCTCAGGGCTGCTTCAGAGATCTCTTCGTTAACAGTTTTATATTCTTTAAGCCTCTTTAAAAAGCGCAAATCTTGATTTGGTGCCTTGACCGCCAGACTACATCCAAGCCATGGTTTTACGTATATAACCACAATGAATAAACAAATATCTTGTTTATCCTTGGCGTTAATTTTGAACTGAGATTGCAACAAACATATTTTCAATGAGTAAATTGCTCTAGCCATCCACCTTGCTTGATGCATTGCTCCAGAAGCTTATTTTAATTTTTTTCTCAATATCTTCTCCCAAGAAAATAATAGATAGTTCAATTAGTTCCCAGTTATAAACACAGGTATGGTAGTTATGAATCGAAAACTCGTAAGAGCCCGGCATGTGATGTCACGTGTGAACCAGATTCAAACCTTTTGCACGTGCACGGATGTTTTCCCACCTTTTCCATTGTTTTTTAAATTATTAGAGTTAGAACACAAATTTTACAACCCACAAAATAAACTACTCCTATAGTGAAAATAACCTATAGTGCATAGTATCTACAGTAAATTAAAGTAAATTAAAACACATGAAAGTGATGAGAAGTGATAAGTGATAGCATACCTGGCGGACGAACCACTTAACAATAGGAAGCATTTTATGTAAAGAACAAACGAGGCTAACCAAGAGTGGAAAGGGCCATAATCTGCAAAATCCGATAAGTACTGACGTAATAAGAAAATAGAATGATAATAGTGTTCCACATCAATCTAACTTTACACTTTAATATACTTTTAACACTAGCCAAGCTCTGGCAGTGCACAGTAGTGTAAATATGCAATCAGGGGGTGTTTAGTTGACAAAAACGCAAACTTGTTTCGTTCATTGTTCTCTTAAAATTTGTGTTGGAAGAATGCACCAAGCTGTTTAGTTTAGTTTTAGTATATAATTATTAAGTTAAATTTGTGTGACTTTTCCTGAAATAAAAAAAAATAAAATTAAATCTGTAATACTTAGATTTTTTTATTATAAATTGCACAACTAAAATTTGTATTATATTTATTAGGGGGGCCAGGCTGCAGGGTAGCTGCAGCAAAAACTATATTTTCGCAAACTTCTATTTAAATTCTAACTTGTTAATTTAGTGTCATAAACTCATATAAATTTGGTGTGGGTCCCATGTCTACCTGGGCGGATATAGGTATAGGCTTTATGGGCTGCAGCCCTGGGCCCCGCCTGGTCCAGGGCCCCCTACACGGTGTAATTAATATTATTAGAGGTCCCTCATCGCGATTTTCTATTTCCTATTTAAATAACATGGAAAAATGTTTTACTTTAAAATTAGGTATATAACTCTATAACAGATCAATGGAGTAACATGATCAGGTCAGATATAAACGCTCTATAAAAATGGTCTTTTATAATTTCATGGTAAATTTACCCGTTCAAAAGTTATTCAAGCTTAATTAGAATTTAAAGTAATTTTCTTATTAGTTTTTCTTACTTTTTATACAAAATATTGGATTTATTACAAAATGTCAGGACTTTTTCCATAAAAATATGTTATTTCTTAATTTTTAAATCCTATAGTTAAAATTTATATTTTTGCTTGAAACAACAATAAATTTCAAGAAAATAGCAAAAAATTAATTTATATATCCAGTAATTTAAAAAAATTTTGAATGGCAGATTTATATATAATATAATAAATATAAACAAAATAATATATTATATATAAACAAAATGATGTACAAAAATGGTAATAAATCAGATGTTTTTTCTTATAATTTACTATAAATTTAACTTTACGCTTAAATAACCTTTGAACGACTTTATTTATCATTAAATAATAAAAGACCTTATTTGCAGAGCGTTGATTTTCTATAAAAATATGTTTTGATCATTTAGGTCCATTGATCCGTTTACAAGTTAGGTATATAATTCTAAAATTGAAAAAATCCCCCTTAAACATGTGTTTTTGACAAACTTTAAAGACCTCTAGGTATGTTGGGTTGAATCGACTTATTGAACATTGTACAGGCATTTTTGGGACACCTTGTATAAATCCTAGAATATTTTATTTATTATATTTATATTATTTATATATTTTAAGAATGTGTTATTTCATTCTTGGTTTTTATTGATGACCTCAGAATGTTGTTTTGTTTTTATTTTTTAATAAAAGTAATGCCTTTTTTATTTACTTTTTATTTATGTTTGTTATGTGGGTCACTCCCACGAAAAAATAAATCCCTTGTTTATTTAGCACAGGGCCCCCAAAGGTAACGGTCCGCCCCTGCATGTCTAATAACTGAGATATGTCATATGCAAAATCCACCAGCCTAATTTGCCTCGTGACTAAAATGCCGTTTATCAAACTTGTTGCATAATATACTATTATATTTTTTAACGTTTTTTTAAATTATACTAATTATTGCAGAAACTTACTTTTTAAAAGGGGGATGGTTTTGACCCACATAATAACTAATGAAAATTGCTTTAGTTAAAAACAAAAATATAAATTTTAAATCTTTTACAACGAATACATGTGTTTTAATGCCATTATTATCATGGAAAAATCTTTTGAAGGAGCATCATTAAAAGTGTAGTTCGTTTTTCAAACACGTTTGTGGAAATTATCCGGTCTCTGATTTTGAAATCAGAGTTATGTAAATGAAACTTCCTTTGACATTGATATTGCCGCCCGCTTTATGAGATTTATCTGCATCGACTGAAAAAGACTCTTGTTCAGCTAGTTATGACTCTTTTTTTTTCAGCTTTTTTATTCGAGTACTTATTGTTTACAACAGGAAAAAATATTTTTACAAAAAAAAAATCATATTTCAAAAATAAATCAAGCCACAAAATAGCTTTTATAACTAAAAACTATATATTTAAGAAAACCATTTCTTGTGCGTTAATGGGTTTTATTCAACACCCACAAGAAATTGTAATTTCGTGACCCTGCTGAGAGTGGGAGAAATATTGAATTCTCTAACTTTTTAAAAAAGCTGATATCTTTTCGTCTTCTGAGTTGCCGTGTTCATTTCTGTCATCAAAATTTTTATCCAGCTCCTCACAATTGCCCTAGCCCACGAAAAATTCCATAATATTAGTTCGTTCGTATTTTCTTTGTTCTTTTATCGTCAAACGTCCGACGGAGTGGATTCCTCTTTCTTTTTTTGCTTTCAACTGCAATATCACTTTTTAACAACCAGCAAAAATCTGCCATTATGTGTTCATCCCATCGTCCCTGATAATGTCGCTCCATTTCTTTGATATCTTGGTGGAAACATTCTCCTTGTTCCTCACTGCAAGATTTTCAGGGAAGTGTTCTTAAAATTTTTGCAACATGTTTTTAACTATTTTCTTATAATTGTCACTTTTAAAGTTACCTAAGAAATTTTCCCTTATCCTTGAACAATTTTCGTAGGCTAGGGCAATTGTAAGGAGCTGGATAAAAATTCTGATGAGAGAAATGAACATGGCATCAGCTTTACCGTACGAAAAAGGCCTTCACATCAGATATGAATTCAGGAACTCAAAATACGAAAATATATAGGCTTTCTTGCGAAAAAATACAACCTTCCAGAAATCAAAAGTTTTGCTTAGCTTAACACTTTTCCCCTAGGCTAGTGGAATTCTGAGGTACTCTAGGAAAATTCTACAGTAAGATTCGAACTAAGCGACTCGAGATACGTAAAAACAATATCGTTTCATTTAATATTGCGTAGATCAAAATTGCTTTCACAGATACTGAAGATTTCACGCATTTCCCCTAGGCTAGGGGGAAACTGGGGGGTCCAGGTGAAATTCTGAGACCGGATTCGGATTCAGCGGCTCAAAATCATATAGTATACTCACATGTAAAGTTCATTCCACTTTTTTGTTTTTGTGGGCCTGTGTTATCAATTGATTCTGATTCGGTATATACCGAATCAGAATATATATATTATATATATATAAATAACCCCACAAAAAAAAACGTGGCGTTAAATCAGGAGACCGAGCCGGATATTCGGAAGGACGTCGCCTATCAATACAGGTATTTGGATATGTCCATCTTGTCCATTTTTCTATAATTTAAGGCCAAATATTGACAACAGTTACTGTTCATGCTCTTGCAATTTTTCTTGTATATTAATCAGGAAATATTGTTTTATAAACCAATAAAACCTATTTTAATCCATTAAGACATGAAGATTATATGGCCAATTCAACTTGTAAAATTTTATAGTGAAACTCAACTTTTGTTGCTTATTTTAAATTAAACATTTATCCACTTCAAGAAGTGCCATTAACTGATCAAAAAGTCGCCCTAGATATTTTAGTTAAAGCTCGGTTTCAGTAAACGTTTTAGCGGCCAATCTTTAGTTAACAGCTATATTCACTTGCAGACGTCATTTAATTGGGTCTTTGAGTAAATACGAAGTTTATACACTTTGGCAAAAAACGGTTTCTTGACTTAAACCGTCAACATGTTTATTGGCTTGAAGTGTAAGTAAACAATTTATTTTTAAATTGTATTTTTTTAAAAGGATTAACATTTTATTAAACGACGTGTAGGGATCGTAAAAGGTTGATTTTTTTTAAAAGGTGTACGTGTGCTTTTCAATTATTGCGTTGAACCATAGTCAATGCC